AGTCATTTCAGTCTCCTTTCTCTGCTCTGGTTGTGTTTGCTTTCTTCTTTTCTGTTGCTTGGATCATCTTCCTTCACTTCTCAGCCCATATGACTAAACGTGGCGGGGACTAGCTCAGAGTGTTTCATACTATCGTCTGCACACTCAGAGAGGGAGGAAGAGAGAAGGAGAGAGAGAGAGGCCTAAACCTTGTAGACTCGGGCACACATTCTCAAGGGAGAAAACTAGAATGAGCAGGAAAACCAGATACTGTGTTCCTTGATCAGTGTTTCCTTCCCTAGAAGGAAAATCTACTAAGAACAAATTACCATTGGAAGGTTGTTTGGTAAGCATGGAATCACACATCCAATCTCTCAGCAAGTTTCGTGTGCTCTACCATAAAGAAAGCATCCGGAATCAGTCATTTTACCAGCCCCATTCCTACTGCCTAATCCAAAGCCACCATCCAGTCTCATCAAAATATCTGCAGTGGCTTCTTTACTTGTCTCCTAACTATTATTTTTATTTCCTTAGAATTGAGTTTCCACTCAACATCCAGAATTATGCCGTTGAAATGCAACTCAGATCATATCCCTAGCTGAAGCACCCCAAGAGCTTGTGATCTCATAGAATAGAATTCAGACTACTTAACATGCCTCAAGGGCCACATGACCTGACCCCTGCCTCTCATAATTAATATGACAGTTATAATATTTATTTTATTATTTACAAATTTTTATGTTATAGATATTACATAATGTGGTTTATATATAAATATATCTATATATTTATATACAATAGTTTAATTATATTATATACTACTTTTATATTATAATTACATATTAACATTAATATAGGGTTGTGTGTGTATGCTCAAAAATTTTTAATGACACAATAAAAAACTTTAAAGACCACTGGATTCAAAGATGGCATTTGGAAGAACACTGACCTCATTATCCTTCTTATCACATGATTGAAAGCTGGAATTATTATTTCATAATCCTTGTCAATAGGATAACGATTGTACTTGAAAGTGAGTGATTAATAATTAGATATATCTAGACCACCAGGGTTTTACAATTATGAGAAATTTGGAAAGCAGTGCCCTAGAAACGACTCTAGACTCCAACTGCATGGCTCAATCTCTGCTTCAGTCATTGCTTACTATAACTTGGGGCAGGTGCGTTGACCTACTATGCCTCTTTCCTCACTGTAAAATGAGGATACTAGTAGTACTTTCTGCATAGAGCTATTTTCAGGACTAAAATTAGCTGATGCATATAAGAATGTAGGCCAGTGCCTGGATATTAACAAGTGCTCAATGAATGTTCTCTAATATTAACCTGACTTTGGTTAAATTTGAAAAAACAAACAACAAACAAAAACACACAATTAACCTTGCTACCTACTGCCCTTTGCTGGCCAGCATGGGTCAGTACCCTGCAATATACATAAGAAAGCTAAATAAATGCTTGGAGTAAGGAAAGATTTTCAGTGTTCAGTGTTCAATGCTTAACTTTAAAAACTTTTTGCAAAAAAGTGTTGAGAAAAATCAATTGTCATAAAATTAGGCAGTTAGTGAGAAGCATAGGAAGAAAAAAATTAAATATCTGTAAAAATAATTATTTAAATAAATACATTTGATATTTAAAAGCAGGACATTTTTAAATGGTAGTGCTCTGAAGTACAGACCCTGAGAATTTATGGTGCAATAGGGCATGCTTTGCCAAGAAAAGCAACTTGCTTCTTGAAATGACCAAGTATGAATGCTGACAATGAAGTTAGGAAACTCATCCTAGAAAAAGTGCTACATACCTCATTGCTGAATATCACTACGGTCACCATTGAAGTAATCCCCCTGGGAAGCTATGCACTGATGTCAGTGCCAAGTCCACTGTCAAAGCAATTTGGGAGCTTTTTTTCTGGGATGGCCATCAGAGCTGCTGTCATGAGAATTGTGGAGTTTGAATTAGAGCAACAAACAAACATTAAATTTCTTGTTAAACTTGGCAAGAATGGAAGTAAAAATCAGGGACATGGTATGTTAGTCCAAGATTATGGGGACAATGCCATGAAGAAAATGGCAGTGTACAAACGGATTAAACGTTTTTCTGAGGAGAGAGAAAGCATTACTGATGAAGAGAGGTCAGGATGGCCAGTAATGAGCAGAACTGATAAAAACATCGCAAAAATTTGTAGAATCGTGCATCAAAATTGTTGGCTGACTGTGAGGGGCATAGCAGACCAAATAAACATTGATAGAGAAACAGAAAAAATCTTAACTGAAAATCTTGGCACAAGAAAGGTGTGTGCAAAAATGGTCGTGAAGGAGCTCTTGCATCACGACAATGTACCATCTCACACAGCACTGTCTGTGAGGGAGTTTTTAATCAGTAACCAAATAACTGTATTGGAAGACCCTCCCCACTCACCTGATCTGGCCCTCAATGACTTTTTCTTTACCCAAAGATAAAGGAAATGTTAAAAGGAAGACATTTCGATGACATTCAGGACATCAAGGGTAATACGACAACAGCTCTGATGGCCATTCCAGAAAAAGAGTTCCAAAATTGTTTTGATGGGTGGACTAGGCACTGGTGTCAGTGCATAACTTCCCAAGGGGAGTACTCTGAAGGTAACCATAGTGATGTTCAGCAATAAGGTACATAGCACTTTTTCTAGTATGAGTTCACAAACTTAATTATCAGACCTCTTATGTATTTCAAGTTCTTCTTTGATGTTTGGGAAAGTGGGAGTCAAAGGAAGTATAAATCTTTCCTATTTACAGATTATGTAGTAAGTAGTAATGCTATTGCTCATTGAGTGTACACTATATGCCAAGTACTTTTCATGTATCACCTTTTTTGTTTCTCTTTTTTTACTCTGTAACATGAAAATGTTCAAACATATAGAAAATATAGACAAAATGTAATATAATGAACATTCATATATATCACTCCATTTAACACTTAACATTTTCTATATGTTTATTTTTCTGAATTATTTTAAAGTAGAGGTATCAAATATTTCATCCCTAAAATACACCAGTATGCATGGCTAAAAATGAGATCTTTTTTCCCACATGAGCACAATACCATTATCACCCTAATAACACTTTAAAATCATCTTATACACCAGTCTAAATTCAAGTGTCTTCAATTGTCCCCCAAATATATTTTATATTTGGCTTATTAAACCATAATCAACTGAAGACAAATCATACATTTGGTTATTATGTGTCCTAGATTTCTTTTAATCTAGAAAAGTCATCCCTCAGTTCTGTCTTTTTTTTTTTTTTTTTTTTAATGCCATTTGTTTGATGGGATGTCCCACCATTTGTTCTTGATCTTTCTAATAGTTTCCTCTTTGTGTCATTTTATTCTTCTATCCTTGTAGTTCCTGAAACAGGAAGATAAATGTAAAGGCTTGATTATTTTGAGGTTGGAGATTTTTGGAAACTTTACTTCACAGATAATGCTGCAACTTTATATTCCATAGCATTGGGAAACATCATGTTGGTTAACTTTTATTAAGACTGAACTGATTAGGCGAGAGCGGCAAGATTTCTCTCTGTGGTTACATTTTATCTTGATGACAGGGAGTAATCCCAGGGGGATCTTTTGGCATCCAGTGAATATCCTGTTCCTTATCACCCTTTTACCAAATGGCTTCACTGATGATACTGGCATGAATCAGTTATTTCATCAGGGCTGCAAAATGGTAATTTTCTAGTTCTGTCATTCATTTTACGTTATTTAACTGGCATAATTTTGTAAAGAGAACTGTTTCCTCATCAACCAGTGTTTTTTGGTTACCCTGAAATACAGCTGCTACTAGAAAGGCATAATAAATATTAATTTTCTTAAATTACCACTTCTCAGAATAAAGAGTTGGTGTGATGGTCACCACCAATAGAGTGGCAAATGAGGTTTAGAATAAAATTTTTTTTAACAATTGTATTACTCTTTTTGTGGAATGACATTTTTTATGTTTAATGTCTTCTATCATTTTGCAATTTGCAGCCATTGTTATTTTTGATGTCCACATTGTTCTAATTTTGACCAGTGGCCAGTCCTTCAAGCAGGCTCCCTTGTCATTTCTCGTGGGAAGCACAAAATGTTCCAAGCTGTCCTTATCCGTTTCCAGCTCTTGGCCTGGCGTCAGCCATTTCTCTCGAGCGAGCCCTGGTAGTTTTTAGGGGTAAGTGGCATTCAGAGAACATCTGGGTGCCAAGAATAGTCCTTGCTTCCTGGCCCTGCGTTCATATTCATATTTTAATTCCAGAATTAACAACATATGGTTGTTTTCTGCTTGCGATCGTAACTTATGATCTCTAGTTTAAAAGGAGGAGACGGAGACAAGAGGTGCCCGAGGTTACGGTGGCTAGGGAACCGCAGCGTCGGGATTTGAACCCGGGCACGTTACTTCCATCAGGGAAGGGAGCTCCGGACATTCAGGAATTCAGAGGGGCCTCTCCAGGGGACGCAGCAGCCTTAGAAAGTGTCAGGCTGACGGCCAGGGTTGGGGGTGCAGGGACCAGTGCGTGGGGTGAACAGACGGGTCCTGACCGACTCCTCTAAGCCGAGAGGGCAGGACGCGCGTGCTGCGGCGGAGGTGAAGGAACCGTCGGGGAGGTGGCCAGCGCCGCTGTTTCGCCTCGGATCTGCCCAGAGCTCCCTAAAGCGCAGAAACTGCCAAAGAACGACACGCGAGCAGCCCAAATGCGGGAGACCAGTCGCCCGCCGGAGACCCTCAGTCCACCGGATCCTAGCAGCCTCCACGACGTGCCCGCCCACCCACCAATCAGTGGCGTTCTTGAGCAGGTGGGCGGGACATCAGAGGAGCGTATCCAATGAGGCGCCAGTCCCGGGTCGCCTCAGGGCAGAGCGTTTTGGAGTCTCGGTGGAGGGCGGAGAGGAGGCCGAGGAGCTTGGCCAATCGGAAGGGGCGATCCACGTCGGTGCGGGTCGGCAGCCAATCAGAAGCGCGCTCGCTCCCGACTCGGCCGGCCCAGGCTTCCCGCCAGTCCCCTAACCCCGAGGCGGCGGCGCGGCGGTCACTGGGCCGGGGTCGTCATCCGCCGCGCTGCTCTCGCTGTCTGCCGCTCACCCTCCCAGCTCCAGATCCCCCAAACCGTGCAGGTGTCTGGTGGGACATGGCGAACTCGGGCTGCGAGGACGTCCGGGGCCGGAATGAGGACAGCGTCCTGTACTTCGCCTACGGCAGCAACCTGCTGACTGAGAGGATCCACCTCCGCAACCCCTCGGCGGCGTTCTACTGCGTGGCCCGCCTGCAGGTGAGTGCCCCGCCGGGCCCTCGTCGCGCCCTCTCCGCACACCGGGGGCCCGGAGTCCCGAAGTCGCCTCCTCCGGGCCACACGTGGGCGGAACGAGAGCGCCGCTCCTCCTGGCTGCACCAGGGCTCTGGCGGGGAGCCGGCTTCTGCCTCCCGGGCAGGCCCGCGTCCTCCACCGCTCTCGCGGTTCGGTCTTGGCCCCTGCCATCCCGACCCCGGTGACCTTTCCACCTCGTTCGGCACCGACCTGGCCGCCTCTCTTGCTCACGAACTCAGGGGCATCCTCACAGATTCCCTTCAACTGGCACTTCGGAGAAGCCTCCCCGTTCTGTATGTGCCTTTGTTATAGCCCTTGCCACCTGGCACCGTAAAAATCCTCTTACCTGGCGTTTTCTCCTGAGCTGAGAGGCCCCGAAAACTGGAGGTGTGTAGGCCAAGTGGCTGGACGAACCATGACCAACCTTGGTAAACCGTTGCTCTTCAGTCCAGTACACTCGTTCAGTGAGCACGCATCCTTCCAGCACTTAACGCTGGGAATGCAAAGAAGATTGAGTCAAGTTGCCTTTTTTGAAGACCTCCTAGTCTATAGGAGAGATGTGCAAACACATTATGTACAAAACCTTTTGACAGCGCTGAATTAGACAAGCATGATCTCTGCTAACCTCGTCAGAGTTCTTAGTGGCAAGCAACAGAAACTGGCTGATTTAAGCACAAAAAAAGAAAAAAGAATGTGTTGAAAGGCTATTGGAGAGCTCACAGAATGACCAGGAAGGCAGAAGTACAAAGCTGACAAAACAGGCAGGCATAAAGGGTGGTGCAGCAACTGTAACAGCCGGCATCACACAACAGAACCAGCCCGCGGAGCCTCTGCTGCACTTGGTAAACGTAAATGTGGATGCTGCAGTGTACATCCCCAGCACCACCTGCACTGGACCCTGCCTACCACTGTACTACAGCCCTGCAGTACCTGAAACCCAGATGTATCAGCCTCCACCAGGGTGGAGTCCCTGCTGTCTTTGAGCACTAGCTTCTAATTCAAAGACCCAGATTGTCCTGATTGGCTAGGTTTTGGCCGTGTACCTTTGCTCTGACTGCAAGCAAAACTGAGAAAACCAACTTCTGGCCTTTGAAGCTTCAAACATGGAAGTCAGGTCCTGGTACTCCCTACCCCCAAAGCCATAGGTAGGGAGTTTCCCGAATGTAGGAAGGGAGTTCAAATGCTTATATTCAGGGCAGGGAGAAGAGAAACCAAACAAGTGATTATTCAGTTACAGGAAGACTCAGTCTTAACAAGAAGACATGCAAGGTGAAATGGGCTGTATGACTTGGGGACCTGACCCAACCAGGATGCTCAGGAAAGTCCTGTGTTAAAAATGTGACATGAATAATTGGTGAAGTGGGGAGCAAACAAAACAGAGGCAATAGCATCTGCAAAGGACCTGAAGAAAGAGGAAGCTGTATCTTCCCGTCAGTGTATCTGGAGTTTAGTAAGGGGAAGGTGGCATAAAGACTGGAGAGACAGGGAAGGGCCACATCTTAAAGGAACACAGAGGCCAAATAAGACTTTGGACTTTATCTCAAGTGTAGTGAGAAACCCATTGCAGAATCAAAACAAATGAAAAATCGGATTTACATCTTGGAAAGTTCATTCTGGTCACGTGGAAAGTGGATTTAAATGAGGACACGAGTGGATGTAGGGAGCCCAGTTAGGAAGTTTTTGCAGCAGTTTATGCCAAAGATTATGAATGGCAACTTGAACTAGGGTATAGACAGGGCAGGGTAGATGGATTTGAGAGTAAATTAGGAATAGTATTATTAAAGTGATTGAGTATAAAGGGAATATCAAGGATGATCTGGGTTTCTGGCACAACAAGGTAGATGATGGTGATGTTCACAGAGAGAAGAGAGTTCAGTTTGAAAGGGAAAAAAATCATAAGTTCAGTTTGATACTGAGTTTGAAATGCTTGCTAAAAAGCCAAGTGAACAGAACAATATTAGTGAACATCTATTAACTGTTGTGGGGAAGGCCTTATTCCAAGCACTTTTGAAGCTCAGAAGAGAGATCTGAGCTGGGTTTAAAGATGATTGGGGCATTTGAAGTCATTGGAGGGGATGAGATTGTCTTGGGCACATTGCTGAATGAATAGAGAAAATGATCTAGACTCAGCCCTGAAAAAGTCCAACATTTGAAGATCAGGTAGTGGAGGCGGAGTTGGCAAAGAGAACTGAGATAAAAAAACAGCCGGAAAGTGAGGAAAGAGACCGATCAGGAGAGGATAGTTACCTATGTCACAAGCAGCTGAGAAGCTGAGCAAGATGAGGAATTGAACATTGTTTATTGGATTTAGCAATACACAACCTAGTGTGGGCTCTAACTTTTATCAGATCTACTGATGCCCTACCAGGAAGATTTGGTCCTAGAAGAGCATCTATGATGCCAGTTGAAGGTACTGGTTACTCCATCCAACCTTGTTCATGAAATATCTGCCAAGGTTTTTGAGAAAATATAAGTAACAAGGATAAAATATAAACCTGGAAAGGTCCTTAGATTACCACATAGTCCAACCTTTTTTATTTTACTATTAAGGAAACTAAGCTCTGGAAAGGTGGAAAGAAATCTTCCTAGACCAAATAAACCAAGTAAGGATTTTTAATTTTCCACAGAACTCTTATTCCCTGATTGCCCACATGTGTGAGGAAAGAAGCTAAACTAGAAACCTGGTTCCGTTACTTACTAGTTGAGAGACCTTAGGCAAGTTGCTTTATCTTTCTAAGCCACAGTTTTTCTTACTGTAAATGGGTAAAATAAAGTTGTTAGCAAGATAAAAGGTGATGACCATATAACCCTAACAGCACAGTGTACAGAACCCGATAATTTTTTAGTAAGTGTTAGCTGCTTTTATGGTCAGTGTAGATAAATTTGTACAATTCATGTGTATTAGAGTAATGTTCTTCAGTATACAAATCATCCCCAAATGCCAACTCCCTTAGGGCAAAGATGGTGATATACGTTGGTGGGATACTCTACAGACATAAAAGTAGGGAGAATAGTATAACTCCCATGTAGCTGTCACCCAGGTTGTCTCTAAGTAAAAATTTGTGTAGGTAAGTAGACTGGGAAGTAATTTGCACAAATGAAAATTGTTATGTTAAGGCATTGGGATTAAGGGGTTTTTTTCCTTAAATTTTTTGTTTTTATTAAGATGTCTATGCATATTCAGTATGTTTCATTTTTTTAAGAAAAATATATATAGTCCTTGAGATCTGGGTTCTTGTCTTTTTAACTTTATATTTTCCACAGCTTCTTACGCATAGATGGAACTCAGTTAATTGAATGTTTTAATTGCATGGAGAGCAAGGTAAATCCTTTTTATTTTGAGGAGGGAAATTTGGGTTCAAGTGGATATTGATCATATCACTTTGATTTCCTTTGTAGGATTTTAAGCTTGACTTTGGCAATTCCCAAGGCAAAACAAGTCAAACTTGGCATGGAGGTATAGCCACCATTTTTCAAAGTCCTGGCGATGAAGTGTGGGGAGTAGTATGGAAAATGAACAAAAGCAATTTAAATTCTCTGGATGAGTAGGTGGCTTCTAATTATAAGTTAAAAAATACCTAGTTCAGAAAGTGGGTTATATGCAAGGATGTGTATATGTGTGTTAGATTTTAAAAACCATATACTACAGACATATTCTTTACACGTTAGAGTCAACATAAAAGGCATAATGATGTCAGTTTGCTAAAGGTCTAGAAGGGTCACACTTTCTAATGGACATTTGGGAGATGTTCGTAATCTCTTATGTAAAAGATAGAAGCCCTTATTTTTTATTTTGTTTATTATCTATTTATTATAACATTTTTTCCTTGGTGTTTCAGTCAGGCACAGTGGCTCATGCCTGTAATCCCAGTGTTTTGGGAGGCCAAGAGAGCATTGCTTGAGGCCAGGAGTTTAGACCAGCCCAGGCAATATGGCAAAACCCCATCTCTACAAAAAAAAAATTAAATTAAGTTAAATTAAATTAAATTTAAATTTAAATAACTTTTTTGTATTTTCATATAGTGAAAAGGCATGAGAATTTTTGTAATTGTAAATGATTTTGATTCAGTTTTTAAAAGAACAGTGATTTAAGATAGTTGAATTAGTAAATAAATAATAATTTGTAAAAGCATTTAACAAGATTTTAGAAATGCTTTGATACTTTTTATGCTAGAACTCTCAGAGTAGTGTGGCAGAGCATGTCATACTAAGAAAGTTGGCAGAAAAGAGTAGGCCTTGAGAAGAGTAGATTATCTGACATGCTTGATGCTTCACTTGTGAATGAGAATGAATCATCCTCTACTTTCTTCTGGATGGATAGTCTGTTGCTGTCAGAACACATAGTCCGTTTTTGTAGCCGAAAGAACAGTGTTTCAGAGGTATAAAGACTGAAATAACTACACTGAAGCATGTTTTCAGATAAGATAGAGAGTTCTGTTAGGAGATTCACAATTAAGTCACAGGCTTTCTAATTGAACTACTAAGCTTTCTTTTCATGTTTAATTTATATGTTCTATATCCCCAAACACATAGGGAGCAAGTATGTTGATACATAGTTAAATGTTTTTTCCTATACCCTAATTTGACTAAAAGACCTTACCCAATAAATTCAATTGGCTAGGTCAAATGTGGTTAAAATTTGCCTGTTCTGGTTTCAGGCAAGAAGGGGTTAAAAGTGGAACATATGTCGTAATAGAAGTTAAAGTTTCAACTCAAGAAGGAAAAGAAATAACCTGTCGAAGTTATCTGATGACAAATTATGAGAGTGCACCCCCATCACCACAGTATAAAAAGGTAAGTTATTGACAGATTCTTGGTGATTACTTTTTAATTTTCACTGAGATAAATGAAAGAATATCTTGTTTTCAAATTATTCTTTTTGAAATATATTTGTGTATTTTAAGTTTTGTATAAATAATTCATTGTAATCAAAATGTTTTTAAATATAAAAATGAGTTATTTACCTAAAGTAAAAATTCAGAAATATTGTTCAGATTTATATGTAATGATAGAACTATGATAAAATTTTTTATTTTTTTAAAAAAACTTTTAGAAATGTTTCAGAATTCTAGACATGTATTTTCTTTCTTAAAGTAGAAAAGAACATATAAGTGTGTTTTTAATAGATTTAGTATATATATATACTGCTTTGTGGAAAAGAATTACAAAGCATATATATAATACTGTTTTCCACAAAACAGTATTTTATGAATACCAACATTTGTTTTAATAGGGAAAAATATATTTTCTACTGCTGAAATGTTTTCCATCCCTAGATGAAGAAAGAAAAGTTACGTGGCCTTTAAAAATCAGGGAACTTACCCCTGTAAGCACAAGACAAGAATATGGAATAAAGACCCCAATATCCCCATTTAGAAAAACAGCTTAGGTACCTATTGACAGACCCAGTCAGGACAGGGCACCTGTAGTGGTTAGCCTGATTCCTGGGCCTAGTCTGGAATTTTATAATACAAAGCCTAGAAGAATTAGCCTAGTATGGATCTTGAAAGTGCCACTGAACACAGCTGCCATTTGTTCCCCCATTTCTAATTCAGAGCAAGAATAGACTCTGGCATTAAAACCAAAATTGTTTCCTGTAACCTTTAAATTTTTTGGAAGAGTGGTGTTTTTTCCTAAAATGTTATGCAAATTCTAAACAATAGGTATTTTTTTAATATAAAAATATTTTAAATTATATTATTGATAAAGTTGGTATCCTATGAGGCTGCTTCATGTGGCTTTGAAAACTCCTGTGCCTTCATACTCTGTGTTAGAGGAAAGACTCTCTATTTTGTTCTATAATTGCTTATTCTAGAGTTATCTGAAAGCTAATATTTCATACTTTGACAATGCAAATAAAGCTGTGGTATGTTACTTTAAATTATGTTCTCAACTAAAAGGCTTTTTTTTTTTGTCTTAATCATTTCTAGGTTATTTGCATGGGTGCAAAAGAAAATGGTTTGCCACTGGAGTATCAAAAGAAGTTAAAAGCTATAGAACCAAATGACTATAAAGGAAAGGTCTCAGAAGAAATTGAAGACATTATCAAAAAGGGGGAAACACAAACTCATTAGAACATAACAATAGATCTAAGGATATTTTATGTGCTAATATAATATTTTTAACATTTAAGAACAGAAATCTGGGATATCTCCATGTTAAATCCATTTTCAACAGTTCTCTGAAGGAATATCTCACTTGGATGATTCCTTGTTTCCAGACTATAAGAAGAAACTGGTTTAGGAGTTAGACAATTAAAAATGGGACTGTGAGACCCTGGAATGTGTGACAAATGGATGGGGTACCTCTTCTGTAAACACTTAAAGCTATTTTCTCAAATGATTTTAAGTGTCTTCTTGCTCCAGCAAAGGATAGATTTGTAGCTTGCTTGATGATGGTGCTGGTGAATTACTGTGTTCTATCTGGAATTTTAAAAAATCAGCTTAGTAAGAGTAAGCAATCTGCAGAGACAGTTGATAATAAAATTTTGAAAGTTGTAAAGATGGTATACTGTTTTTAGAGGAATAAATGTGTTCGTAGTTTAACCTGTTTTCCCAGCTAAAGTACTCCATTTCATTATGTTATCAGACACAGATCATCACACATGCTGGGCCTGGTCTTGACCATATGGAATCTATAGTAGAGTAGTGTTGTATAGACTCTGGAGTGAAATAGCCTAGGATCAGTTATCATTTTCACCATTTCTAGCTGTGAGACTTTGGGCTCGTTGATTCTCTGTGTTTTCTTACTTGGAAAGTGAGGATAATCAAAACATCTATATTTTAGGATTGTTTTGAGGATTAAATGAGTAAATGTATATAATGAATTTAGGACAAAATTGCACAGATTAAGTATTAGCAATCATTATTGTTTTTATTGAGGAATTATGTTTGTACTGGGTCATCCTTGGAATAGGATTTTAAAGTAGAAGGGTCAAGATTATGCAGGGAATAGTGGGGAGGCAGCTGCAGTTTGATTCTTGGCTTATCAACAGATGGTGACCTTCTTACATTTATTTACTGAATAAATGGAGGAAAGAAGAGTCATGAATAAAGCAATACAGGCCATCACAAATTCTCTTATGTCTCTGTGGAATGCAGTGAGCTGTACCTTCCGCACTGGAAAGAGTGAACTAGCTTCAGGAGTATAAAATTAAAATTTGCTCTCTGAAAAAATACAAAAGGAATTCTCCAGCTACAGCTGTAATTATGTAGTCAGGCTGAGCCATAGACTATAGATTAGACCATGTTTCATAATACCTCTATTTTCCTGTATACCCTCCAAACATTCTAGTTTTTTTACTGGTTATTAACTCTTCTTAAGAAGTCCAAGCTTGTTAGTGACCCAGACCCACTTACAGTACTCTAGTTAAGCAAGGCTCAGTTTCGCTGTGGATACTAAATAAAACTTGAATATTCTTCTAATACTCTCTTACCTAAAATGACAACTTTCACTAAGGAATTCAACATGCTAACAATAAAAACCTTCAGATCTGGTCTTTAAAATCTAGTAATCATGAGGAATACTGTTTTTCCAGTTGTTTTCAAGGTAATACTTGAAATACAAATGCTGCATGTACGACGTTTCCCTTTCTACCAGCGATTTTGCCCCTCTAACCACAATACTACCGGATCCTGGATAAACTATCGCAAACACAGTTTGTTTGTTTTTTGAGTTGGGGTCTGACTCCATTGCCCAGGCTGGAGTGCAGTGCCACACTTGGCCACCCCAGCGTTGACCTGCTGGGCTCTGGCGATCCTTCCCACCTTAGCTTTCCAAGTAGCTGGAACTACAGGTACACGCCACTATGCCCAGATAATTTTTTTTTTCATTTATTGTAGAGGTGAGGTCTCACCAAGTTGCCCAGGCTGGTCTTGAATCCACAGCTCAGGCAATCCACTTGCCTTGGTCTCCCAAAGTGCTGGGATTACAGGCTGAGCCACCGAGCCCAACCACAAACATTGTTTTTCAATAGCATTTCTAGACTCGCAAGAAAACAAGGAAATCATCAAGGTGTGCCAATCCCTACCCAACAAAAAGATGGAAGACCTCTTCAACTATGAGCTGAAAGGACAAACAGTAATGGTAAACTAGTTTACTGTAAACTGGTAAACAGATGACCCTGACATTCTTGGGTACTAGAGCAAATAATAGCCTTAGAATTGGGCTACTAACCCTGGAGCACTTCTGCTGCAGAATAGGAAAACTGAACCCGAAAATTCTGTATGAAACCAGGACCTTTGAAGAGGGCTAAAATGGTACCCAGTTAGTAACCCCAGTGTAGTTCCCAGCAGAAACAGAAGCAAATCCCCTCTGGAGAAAGCAATCTTGATTTAGGTCCTCAGGACTTCCTTAAAAATTTTAAAGGTAATGATAAGGAAAATGATACATCATGAGTGGGAGCAGAAAAAACAAATTTGTTAAACAAATTTAGATCCACCCAAAACAATATAAAATAAATATGTATGGAGATTTTGACCTCTGAAGATGGGGTGGATATATTTTTTCCTAGTTCTCTAGTTAGGTACAACTAAAATCCTTGAACATTATATACAAAACAAATAGAAGACTGAAAGGTAAAGAAAGGACAGACTAGCCAAGGATCTCAGGATGCAAGGCACAAAATGATGCTGAATTCCCTGGGTTTTCTTTTGTCTCGTACATCTCATACTTGTAGCTGAAGAAGCTAGCAACTTGGAAGCATCAGTGATCACAAATACACAAAATAAGAAAAGCTTACTTTAGTTGAAGGACTAGGAATGTCATGCCTAGCATTGCAGAAAACTTAGTGAGTAATTGCTCTACTCCAGTTATAACACAAAAATTGGACCCTAGTCTCCACTCATGCTAGCAAAGGCCAAGAAGAGAGCCTAGACTTCCACGTTTGCAAGCTGTAAGGAGGCCTCCTAACCCCACCACCGTGGTGTCAGAAAAGGCCAAACAGTGAGGCTTCTAGCAGTAACAATCCTCCCTCCCTCAAAGTCAGTGGAAACCATGTGGGGAGCCTGGACATAAACCTCCATCTGCCAGTGATGGTGCCTCTGTTCCTTGCTCCTGGGGTGGTATCAAAAGCCAAATGGCGAGTCAGGACTTTCATTACTTCTCAGTGGTCACCAAGCTATTCTCTTGTGGTGTCAATGGATAGGGAGCAGTAAACAAGTCACTCCTACTCCCAGCCAAGGAGGTATCAGTGGAGGACTAGTGGGCAACTGAAAACAACCAACTTCTTCAACAGTAACAAGGTTCATCCTCTCCCTTCCATAACTACAGAAACCGAGTGGGGAACCAGAACTACCCCCATCTGACAATATTGACACAAGTGCCCTTTAACTTCTGCTGAAGTGATTTTGGAGGAAGCCAGGTTAAATAGAAGATGTAAATAAGATTTAGTTTCATAACAATCTCCAAAATGCCCAGGTTTCAGCTGGAAATCACTCAGTCCAAGAACCAGAAAGATCTCAAACTAAGTGGAAAAAGGCAATCAAGATGTCAAATCTGAGATGACAGATATATTAGAATTATCTGACAACTTTTAAAGCAGCCATTATAAAACTGCTTCAGTGAGCAACGAAAAACATGCTTGAAATAAATGAAAATAGAGAAAGTCTTGGCTGGCAGAGAAATAGAAATGTAAAGAAGATCCAAATGAAAATTATAGAACTGAAAAATACAATAAATTAAAGACACGTTGGATGGGCTCAACAGAAGAATGGAGGGGACAGAATAAATCAGTGAGCTGAAAAATGGAACAATAGAAATTACTCAGCCGGGCTCGGAGGCTCAGCCTGTAATCCCGTGCTTTTGGGAGGCTGAGGTGAGTGGATTGCCTGAGCCCGTGGGTTCGAGACCCGCCTGGGCAACTTGGCGAGACCTCATCTCTACAATAAAATCAAAAAGTTAGTCGGGCGTGGTAGCGCGCACCTATAGTTCTGGCTACTTGGAAGGCTGAGGCGAAAGGATCGCCAGAGCCCAGCAGGTCGAGGCTGCGGTGGCCGGAAGCGGCCACTGCACTCCAGTTTGGGCGACAGAGTGAGACTCCAACTAAAAAAGAAAAAAAAGAAATTACTCAATCTGAACAGCAGAGAGAAAATAGGGAAACAAACAAAAAACCAACAGAACCTCAGGGACCTGTGGGGCTATAGCAGAAAACATACCACTTGGGTCATGGGAGTCTCAGGAGGAGAGGAGAAAGGGCAGGCTGAAAAATACCCAAAGACAATCACTAAAGCACCCCAAATGTGGCAAAAGACAGACCTACAAGTTCAAGAAACTGAGTGAACACCAAACATAAATAAATCCATACCAACACATATCATAGTTAAACCTCTGAAAACTAAAAACAAAAATTCTTGAGAACAGCAAGAAATGACACCTTGTCTATAGGAGAAAAAAAGATTGAATGACACCAGATTTCTCATCAGAAACCATGGAGGCCTGGAGGCAGCACGTTTTTCAGGTGCTGGGAGAAAATAACTGTCAACCCAGAATCCAGTGAAAATAGCCTTTGAAAATGAAGAGGAAATCAAGACATTCTCAGATGAAGGAAAGCTAAAAATGGAAGGGTAAGGAAACCAGCAACCTTACCCTAAAAGAATGACTGAAGGAAATTCTCTAAACAGAAAGAAAATGATAAATATAGGAACCCTGGAACATCAGAAAGGAAAACAAACAAACAAACAAAAAAACATGGTCAGCAAAACATGGATACATATAATAGACTTTCCTTCTCTTGAGTTTCCTTAAATATTTGATTGTTGAAGCATAAATTATAACACTGATGTGGTTCTAAACATATGTAGAGGTAATATTTAAAATAATTATAAAAAGGAGAGAGTAAAGGGAGGTAAGTTTTTTACACTATTTGAACGACTAAAATGATAACACCTGTAGACTGAAAAATAGGTATACATATACAGTACCTAGAGCAACCACTAAAAATGATATGCAAAAGGACACTCAAAAACACTGCAAATAAATTAAAATGGGATTCCAGAAACAGTGTTCAAGTAACTCACAGGAAGGCAGAGAAAAGGAAACAGACAAATCAAAAATAGAACAGACAGAAAACAAAACATGAAATGGTAGACTTAAGCCCTAACGTATCAATAATTACATTAAATATAAATGGTCTAAGTACAAAAGTTAACAGACAGAAATTGGCAAAGTGGACTAAAAACATGACTCAGCCTTATGCTGTCTACAAGGAACTTACTTCAACTTTAACAATATAAGCAGTTACAAAGTCAAATGATGCAAAAAGATATATGATGCAAACATTAATCAAAGAAAAATGTGAGTGGCTATATTAATATCAGATAAAATAGACTTCAGAGCAAATAAAACTACCAGAGATAGAGAGGGACATGGTAACCCTTACTAATTCATTTTATGAAGCTTGTATTACTCTGCTAACACTCAAAGACAATACAAAGCAAAGAAACAAAAATATACCTCCTCTTATTTCAAGGTTCATCAGTACTTTATTGCTTTTTATGGTCAAATAATATTCTGTTGTATGTATATGCCACAATTTGTTTATCTGTTCATCCA